TCGGTCAGTACTGGCACCTGAAACATACTTCTGGAATGAAAAAAAAATCGTTAACCGGGGTCCACTGTATTCTTCTTCAACACACCGGCTGTATCCCACCGAGGTGGGGAGGCCCAAAAGGAAAAACGAAAGTTTCTCCTTTTACATTTAGTAATATATATAGGAGAAGAGGTTACTAGCCCCTTGCTCCCGGCATTTTAGTCGCCTCTTACAACACGCATGGCTTACGGAGGAAGAATTCTGTTCCGCTTCCCCATGGAGGTAAGAGGAAATAAACAAGAACAAGAACTAGTAAAAAAATGGAAGAAAACCCAGAGGGGTGTGTATATACATATATGCTTGTACATGTATGTGTAGTGTGACCTAAGTGTATAGTAGAGTAGCAGACGTCCTGAACCCTTGCATGTTTATGAGACAGGAAAAAATGGTCACAGCAATCCTACCATAATGTAAAAAACAATTAAGGTTTCCGTTTTACACTCACTTGGCGGACGGCAGTACCTCATGGGCGCGTTGCCTGATCTACCAACCTACTGCCTAGGATATTATTATATATCTATATACATATATACATGTATATCTTGCAATCTTATTCCAGGCGCTGTGTTTGTTACTTGATAAAGCCCACTACATGGGCGAGACATTGTCAGAAAATTACTGCATTTGTCTCTCCTTTTTTTTTATGTGATGATTTTATACCATTCACGCCAAGATATGTCATAGCAATAGGAAAAAATAGGAAAAAAATTTTGCTACTTGTTAATCATAATTTTATGCAGTTTCTAATTAAAATTTAGCACCAAATATTTCTTTCTTGAATAGTTTCCCCCAAGTTTGAAATCTTGAAACCAACCCCAAATGTTGAGGAAGATATGCCTTACTGTAACAACAATTATATGATACAAATACACAGTAAAGCCTCAGTATCAGACCTTAATTAACAGACTTTTAATCTTTATAGGCAAAGTTTAGTATTTATTGTAGTATATCTATAAAACTTCTATACACTTAGGTCACGCTACACATACATGTAATGTTTAATTTAATACACACTCATCTGAGTTTTTCTTTGATTAATCTTAATAGTTCTTGGTCTTATTACTTTTCCTTTTATATCCCTGGGGGGTGGAATAAGAATCGTCCTCGGAAGATGCGTGTTGGAAAAGTCAACTAAAATGCCGCGAACAATGGTTATGTAACCCTTTTCCTAGTAATAATTACTAAAAAGAATAAGAAGAAGAAAATTGTTCAAAGTGGGAGTCTGAATGTACGGTGGATTTGTGGAAATGATAGAAATAGATGATTGTCGGATGTTATGAATGAGAAGCAGCTTGGATGTCTGGCTTTAAGTGCAAACAAGATGAAGGGGGTAGGAGAGTTTCAGTGGAGAGGAATAAATGGGGTTTAGGTCAGGGGTTTCAAAATAGAGTAGAGCCTAAAGAAGGAGTTAGCAATAATGTTGAAGGATAAGTTATGGCAGGAAAAAGTGGGACTATAAACATATTAAGTCAAGGATTAATGTGGGGTAAATAAAGGTTGGTGGTGAAACGTGGTTGTAGTAGCGTATAGCACCTGGAGGAGAAGAGAGAAGTGTAGAGGAGAGAGAGAGATTTTCGGGAAATGTTGAGTGAACGCGAGGGGAGTGTTTTGAACCAAGTGTGAGTAATGGTGGTTGGGGATTTCAATGCTAAATGGGGCAAAAATATTGTGGAGGGAGTAGTGGTAAATTTGGGGATGCCAGCGCGTAAATGCAAATGGAGAGCCTTTAATTGAGCTTATGTGTAGAAAGTGGTTTAGTAATAAGTTAATACATATTTTATGAAGAGGATAAATTAATATACAAGGTATATTGATGTAGCACGTAATGAAAGTAGTTTGTTAGATTATGGATGGTGTGGATAAAATGGTTGATTGGGTAGGCTCCGGATGTACTATTTATAGAAGGGCAACTGACATATCGAGTTCATTATTTTGTTGTAGCTACAGTTAGAGTAGAGTAGATGGAAAAGAGAAAATGGCAACAAGTAAGAGGGAGGTGAGAGTGTTTAAACTAAGGGAGGGGATGTTGGGTGAGGATATAAGCAACTATTGGCAGAAAGGTGGATGGTGCAAGTATGAGCAGTGGGGGGGGGGTTGAAAGAGGGTTGGAATAGTTTTAAAAAATGCAGTATTAGAATGCGGGTGCAGAAAGTTTGTGGTTATAGGAGGGTAGGTGAGGGGGGGAAAGAGTGCAGTGATTTGGTGGGAATGATGAAGTAAAGGTGTGATAAAAGGAAAAAGTTAGCTTTGAGAGGTTTTTACAAAGCAGAAGTGTTATAAGAAGAGTAGAGTATATGGACAGATAAAAGAAAAGGTGAAGGAGAGTGGTAGAAGAGAGTGCAAAAGGAGAGCAGATGATAAGTGGGAGGGCACTGTCAAGAAATTTTAATGGGAAAATAAGAAAAAATTTTGGAGGAGTTTAAACAAGTTAGAAAGCCTAGGGGGGAAAATGAATTTTTGTCAGTTAAAATAGAGTAGGGGGAGTTTGTGATGGGGAGAGGGAGGTTTTGGATAGATGGCGAGAATAATTCTGAGGAACGTTTAAATGTCGACGAAAGAAAGGGAGGCGGTAATTTCATGCACTGGACAGGGAGGTATACCATCTTTTAGGAGTGAAGAAGAAACAGGATGTGAGTGTGGGGGAGGTGCGTGAGGCATTACGTAGAATGAAAGGGGGTAAAGCAGCTGAAACTGACGGGATCATGCAGAAATGTTAAAAGCAGGGGGAGATAGGGTGTTGGAGTGGTTGGTTATTTTTGTTTAATAAATGTATGAAAGAGGGGAAGGTACCTAGAGATTGGAGGAGAGCATGTATAGTCCCTTTATATAAAGGGAAGGGGGACAAAAGAGATTGTAAAAATTACAGAGGAATAAGTTTACTGAGTATACCAGGAAAAGTGTACGGTAGGGTTATAATTGAAAGAATTAGTGGTAAGACAGAATGTAGGATTGCGGATGAGCAAGGAGGTTTTAGAGTAGGTAGGGGATGTGTAGATCAAGTGTTTACATTGAAGCATTTATGTGAACAGTATTTAGATAAAGGTAGGGAAGTTTTTATTGTATTTATGGATTTAGAAAAGGCATATGATAGAGTGGATAGGGGAGCAATGTGGCAGATGTTGCAAGTACGTATATGGAATAGGCGATAAGTTGCTAAATGCTGTAAAAGAGTTTTTATGAGGATAGTGAGGCTCAGGTTAGGGTGTGTAGAAGAGAGGGAGACTACTTCCCGGTAAAAGTAGGTCTTAGGGTCTTAGACAGGGATGTGTAATGTCACCATGGTTATTTAATACATTTATAGATGGGGTTGTAAAAGAAGTAAATGCTAGGGTGTTTGGGAGAGGGGTGGGATTAAATTATGGGAATCAAATACAAAATGGGAATTGACACAGTTGCTTTTTGCTGATGATACTGTGCTTATGGAGATTCTAAAGAAAAATTGCAGTTTAGTGGACGAGTTTGGGAGTGTGTGTAAAGGTAGAAAGTTGAAAGTGAACATAGAAAAGAGTAAGGTGATGAGGGTATCAATGATTTTGATAAAGAAAAATTGGATATCAAATTGGGGGAGGAGGAGTACGGAAGAAGTGAATGTTTTCAGATACTTGGGAGTTGACATGTCGGCGGATGGATTTATGAAGGATGAGGTTAATCATAGAATTGATGAGGGAAAAAAGGTGAGTGGTGCATTGAGGTATATGTGGAGACAAAAAACATTATCTATAGAGGCAAAGAAGGGAATGTATGAAAGTATAGTAGTACCAACACTCTTATATGGGTGTGAGCTTGGGTTGTGAATGCAGCAGCGAGGAGACTTGGAGGCAGTGGAGATGTCTGTCTAAGGGCAATGTGTGGTGTAAATATTATGCAGAAAATTCGAAGTGTGGGAAATTAGGAAAAGGTGTGGAGTTAATAAAAGTATTAGCCAGAGGGCTGAAGAAGGGTTGTTGAGGTGGTTTGGTCATTAGAGAATGGATCAAAGTAGAATGACATGGAGAGCATTTAAATCTGTAGGGGAAGGAAGGCAGGGTAGGGGTCGTCCTCGAAAAGATTGGAAGGAAGGGGTAAGGGAGGTTTTGTGGGCGAGGGGCTTGGACTTCCAGCAGGTGTGCGTGAACATGTTTGATAGGAGTGAATGGTGACGAATGGTATTTGGGACCTGACGATCTGTTGGAGTGTGAGCAGGGTAATATTTAGTGAAGGGATTCAGGGGAAACCAGTTATTTTTATATAGCCGGACTTGAGTCCTGGAAATGGGAAGTACAATGCCTGCACTCTAAAGGCGAGGTTCAGGATATGGCAGTTTGGAGGGATATGTTGTGTATCTTTATACATATATGCTTTCTAAGCTGTTGTGTTCTGAGCACCTCTGCAAAAACAGTGATTATGTGTGAGTGAGGTAAAAGTGTTGAATGATGAAGTATTTTCTTTTTGGGGATTTTCTTTCTTTTTGGGTCACCCTGCCTCGGTGGGAGACGGCCAGACTTGTTAAAAAAAAAAAAAAAAAATATCTGTAAACTGTGTGCTCATTACTATATTAGGTATACAGTAATTTATGGCACTTTTTTACTATTTTTTAACTTCATTTAGATAAAATAGACACCCCTATTATTCTGTTATACTGAGGTCCACTGTCCAAGGCTAATCTTCTAAGAATAACAACCTGACCTAACAGGTGAAAAAATCTGATAAATTAAGAAACATATATCTAGACAGAAAAGGTACACAGATGATGATAATATTGAAGCTTCTATTTCAGACTAGAAGTAAATAACAAAACTGCATGTAGAAATGCATAGTGAAATGCCAGAGAAGATTGCAGGGTTATAAAATAAGCAAGATGACTCAAGTACTGATGGTTGCATGGAAATATCAATGAATATGGTCGCTTTAAGATACCAGAAGTAAATTTCTTTGCTGGAAATCAAGAACTAAAATATTAAATACATTATACATTATTATACCTTTGCCACGACTTGTATGAAGTCGTGCTCGAATTGTAACATTTTGGTATGGCTAAACTTCATCGAGATCTTTTAACTCTTGTGTGTAACTGGTAAATATCTCTTGACTTTATTCAGTGTTAGGTTTCCATACAAACCCACTGAACAGTCCCTACTTCTGCTCCACTTGGGTTGCATCCTGAAAAAAAAAAAACATCAGTTTCAACAAATTAATATAAGCAATACAAAATAAAATAAGACAAACAAAGCAGTTTAACTACAGTAACCTGCTTAAAATAAGTACCTCCTAGATCATAGTGATCATTAAGAATAATGAATTCTTATGATTAATGATTAGAAAAAAATCAGATCTTATAATTTATTCTCAACACACAAACTCAACCCTCAAACCTGGCCCTGCCATATATCTGCGTGGAAAACTGGCAAGATACACTACAGAGAGTATATAACAGTAAGAGAGCTCAAGTAAGGTCCTAAGTTCCTTGATTCTAGATTGGGAGAATCTTTGTTAAACCTAATGTACAAAATTTATGTCAGTCAAAAATTTTTTTTTGTGTCATGTAAAAACCAGTGTTTCTGTATGTAACCTCATTGACAGTTACCAGGAGTCAGGACATCTTCCACCACCTCCAACCACAACATCACCACCCCTCCACCACACGTCACCACCCTCCATCACACGTCACCAACCCAGCAGCAACAGCAAGCCAGCCGCATCAAGCAGCAACCCAAGGCAGCTCCTAAATCTTGCCGTCCCCTGGTAATAAGGGCGATCAACTGATGTAAGGGGTTAGTGAAAGTTTAAAGGAAAAGTCGAGCATGAAGACAGGGTTTTGAAGAAGAAAATTATCTATAAATTCAGGTGGTGATTGCAACGAAGATACTAGGGTGTACTAGGTGACTAGAAAAAGAAATAAATATTATTGTATATGAGGTCAAAGAGCGAAGAGTGAAAATGGCAGGCATAAGAGGGTAAAGATGCCTTAATTATATTTATCTTTCTTCCTCACTTCATGAAGAAAGAATCAGTCATGGGGGCTGAAAGGTGAATGGAGTAACAGCGCACAGGACAGTAAAAAAGCCCCAACAGATAAAACTCTCCATCCTCAGACGGCTACCTCAGTAAATGTCCACTATCGCCGCTACAAGGTATGGCAAACACCGCATACCCAAAGTCAAAAAAACAATGCACACTGACAGCTCTTAATTGACAACGCTCTAAAGTGGTGATATGACCAATAAGAGTGTCATTACGATCCAGTGTCGCGCAAGGGTACAAACAATTGTGCAAGGCAAAAGCTAGATACATTGATGTAAATGAGAAAACACATTCAGTGAAGAGATGACAGTCTAGTATGCTAGGATGATAACCTTAACTCCCATATGTAATTGCATACATAGGTCAATGTGAGACAATACACCATATTATCTCAAACACTACCAAACAGGTCATACACTGTACTAAAGTATGCATGAAAAAAACAGAAAAGGCAAATTATGTAAAATGTGTAAGGGGTGGGTGCATGATGATGTATGTATAATTATAGTCAAACGGAGCAGAAATTCCATTATTGTGTGTATTACAAATGCACTTTGGCGCACAGTTACCCTTTAGCAATATGACACATTGATTTACCTAATGTTTTAATACAAATGACCCATTGCCAAATACTGATGATTAAAAATTGCTTTTTTGAAAACAGGCCCTTCACTTTATTCATGTCAACGCAAGATCACTGTCTTCCTAAATTGGCAGAGATTAAGATTCTACTAACAAAATTAGGGCGGCAGTTATAACCATCTCTGATACCCTGGTTGGATGATACTTGACTGACGACGAGGTACAAAATAGGCGTTACAAAATAAAACACTTAGATAAGGAACATAAAGGGCTGTGAGGTATGTGCATACATAGAAATGACTTGGGCTTACAACCCAAGACCTAATTAATTTAAATAACAATAAACTGGGAGTCTATGGTTTGAAGTGCAGCTTCAAGACCAAACCCATCTTATTAGGAACTAGTTACCGCCCTCCAACCCAGGACCACTCTTAGAAGACTTTTCCAGAGTATTGCCGGACTTGAAAACAATTGCAAGACAATAATACTGGGCGACATCAATATCTTCGTTTCAGTCAGCAAAATAACGGGATAAGCAAAAGGTATAAGCAAATTCTAGTTTAAAATAGTTTACACTCAACTAATTAATACACCATCCTGGATCAACACAGTTCTCAGCCACCTAAATTTGTACCACATACATGTAAATCTCTTGAGAACATTATCAGTCAGGCGTCATTACCACAGGTCTTATGTGACATTTCATCATTACTGCACCAGAAAATCACAGATAGATAGGTCCTACACAGGACAATAAAATGGAGGTCACTAGAAACTACAGTTGAAGAACCTGGTAAATAGGCTACACAATTGGATGACTGGACAGAAATAACAAGTTGCACGACATAACGATGCCTGGAAAAATTCAAAACAATGTCATACATCCTTGATAATATTGCACCCATGTATTCAAGAGGTTAGATTAAACGAAGAACTGAACCCTGTGATGGACTACTGAATATTGATAATATGAAATTCAGATACCACCGCTAAAGAAATAAAGCAAACAGACATGATAATAAGCAAGCACTAAATGAATTTCTAAAGGGTGAGGAACGAGAGTACAGAGACTTATAAAAGGAGCAAAGGCAAAGCACTATTGCTCAAAATTGAAGAGTATAAGCATATCCCCAGAAAGCTCATGGCAACAACTAAACAGTTAGGGGTTATAGCCATAAGCCAGTAGATAGGTCTAACAAATACTCACTATCGATAATGAGGTATCTGCCACAAAACATCTAAGGTGCAAATTGCGTTAATTCCTACTACACATCTGTTTGCTCAACACTAGAATGTAAACTACCCAGCAGCATCAAATACCATATTAACACAGACTCTGATAAGTTTTCAAACATACTATACAATAAAGGGGTAAACCCCAAATAGTTGTCAACTAGTAAGTATATCTTCAAAGACTTTATTCAAAAAAGAACTGAGCAGGTTTAAACCAACTAAGAGCACAGGCCCTGACACATTCACGTCTAAGTTCCTAAAAGATGGTGCTTCGAACTGTCCAATCCCTATTGCTCACAAAATAACTCTATCAATCACCAATAATACCGTACCGAGGGTTCAAGGAGCCAGAGTTACTCCTATTCTTCAAGAAAAACTAGTAGGTCTGATTGCAGCAACATAGAGGCCGTTAGAATACTCGGTATAATATCCAAAATTCTAGAGATGGCGGTGTACACCTCAAGTAGGTTAAGTACCATAATAACAACAACATCTCCATAGCTTATCAATCGCGGGCTTTAGAAGATCATACTCACCGACACCTCCCTAATTAAATCTATGTATACCTGAGAACTGAAATGTCAAAGGGGAACCACATAGGTATGAAACCTTAGACCTGCAAAATGGCCTTCATACTGTCAACCACAATAATATTAATGTTAAGAAACTTCAAGCAATCGGTATAGGTTCGTAGACTGATTTAAGTCCTAACCTTAGCAACAGGAGACAAATATTCAAAATCACAAAACGGAATCAGAACCCCTGCCGATAGCAATGTGAGTCCCTAAAAGGAAGTATTCTGGGTCCCTCATTAGTTCTTATATATGTCAGGACATGCCTATGAGTGTCAGGTGAAACTCCACTGTATGCAGATGACAGTGCCCTGTAGTGTCAGGATAAAGACCCAACAAGATACAGCTAATGTTTTTTAACACGGAACTGGAGTCCTGCAGCAAATGGTTAGTAAACAACAAACTATCATTACACCTCGAGAAAACTGAGAAGGGTAAATATTTCTTAATGCGTCCAGTGTAATGGGCGCCCATCGACTTTGTTTCATCAGTAAAATATCGTGGGAATCCCCTTTGACCCATAGCATGTCAGGTAAATCGATAGGGAACAGTGGTAGTAAAGAAAGCGAATGCCAGACTGAAGTTCCTGTATAGACAAACACAGTGTCCTACCTACTGAGCTTGGCAGACCTATGTCGAGCCCTTATACAATGCCATATGGATTCCGCTTGCTCTTCATGTACTCTGCCTTGACAAAAAAACTGAAAGATAGACTGCAAACCACCCAGAACAAAATCGTAAGATTCATCCTTGGGCTGGGACCAGAGAACATGGTATGCCAGGATGTAATTACAGCAGTTTGGATATGCTGAATTTTCTGAAGACAGAGTAAAACAACTGAAGCTAATCATGTTTAATAAAACGCTCACAAACAGTGTCCATAATATCTTGCTGTCATTTTGTCAGGTGGGAACAAAGCAATCATAGTACTAGGGGGAAGAGAGCACAACTTTGTAGAACCCACAGCCATTGGCCTGGGCTTTCAAACACATTTATTGTACAAGGCACTAAAGAAGGAACAGACTACCCGCACATGTCAAAGCCATTCATAGCATGAACCAGTTTTCAAGAAAGAGAGCCAAAAGTGTCCTGATGACTGTAGCTACAGAAAGGGAGGGGAATGATTTTCTATTTTTTTAGCTAACATACATGTATATTTACCTTGTTCCTAGTATGACCCTGTATTGTCGATAGTCTTATGACCCTCGGTGTAGTAGATATCTTTTAGAATGATTAATAAGATGTTTTTATCTTCATTGTAGAAATAATAACAAAATATTATAACCGTTTATATTATAATAATAAGGTAAAAGGACCCCAATGGAAGAAGTAACCTGCTGACTGAACATTTTGGGTTATCCTAGGTTCTCTACACATTATGCTGCTATGTATGAAAATTTCTATGTAACTGTATTTGTGTATTCTTGAATAAACTACTTTAATTTTCTTTATCACTGTCACCACCGTCCATCACGTGTCACCAACCCTCCACATTTCACCCTCCATCACACAACACCACCCTCCACCTCATGTCACCACCCTCCTCCACATTCATCACCACTCCACATCTCGTCATCACCCTCCACACTTCACCCACCATCACATGTCACCACCTTCACACTTGTCACCACCCTCCCCACACCATCACCACACCTCCATCACATCACCACCCTCCACACTTCACCCTCCATCAACACATCACCACCCCCACCCACATCACCACCCACTCCACATGACATCACCCTCATTCAG